AGCCTCGTCTCCAGTTAGGGCATTCTGGTGATCCTCATTGCTCCCAGCAGGCCTGGGAGACCGTGATATGTGGATGTAGCCAAACTCCTGGGCTTTTCTGGGTTGTCCACACCTCCAGTCCCAAGGACTGGTATTCTGCCCCGATTTTTGGTTGCAAGATGTTAAAGCCCACGTCCTGAAAGATCAAGGCCTCTTCAGAAGCTGTTTTCCCTCTGCTTCTGAAAGCAAGCAAGTTAACTTCCTGCAAGATCTACCATTGCACATGGAAGGCTTATTTCACTTGGTGCAAAGCAAGGAAGTTCCATTCCAGGAAGTACTCTGTGGCGGAGGCGTAACTAGAACCTTCAGGGCCCCAGTGCAAGAAACCATGAAGGCCCCAATCCCACAGCACTGCATGGTTAACAGGAAGGCTGCCGAGGTCCCCAGCAAGCGTGGGACCTCAGGCAGCTGCTTGTTTAAAATGTTAGTGCCGGTGTTCTGTCAAGAACGCTGACCCAGTATCTGTGTTTATGTACAGACGGGATTAACGAGGAAACCGGCATTTATTTACAAAGTATTTGTAATGGTTAATTATATGCCGTCCATGGCAGTAAATGATGGGTGGCAGGAAATGATGGACAGAATATTATTATCGGTCACAATTAACGATTTAAACTAAATACTTTGTGAATAAATCCCGGTTTCCTCGATAATATTGGTCTGTGTGTAAGCCCAGATGCTGAGGTCGGCAAATTCGACTAGGTCAGCGTTCTCGACAGAACACCGGTATCTGCGTTTAGTATCGGGGCATTTTCACGCCCTAAGAGGCGGGACCAGCTCATTCTCCGGGATCAGTGACAGCGTCTCCAGGCCTTTCGCACAGCCGCCCGTACATGCTGCGGGGGGGCCCTCTACTTCCTTGCTGGGCCCCCCCAAGTGGCGGAACGCCAGGGCCCGGTCGCAATTGCGACCGCTGTGACCCTGGTAGTTCCGCCAGTGCTCCGTGGGATGCATCTTATCTTTCCTCTAGTCTAGTCTGGTACACAGTTCGGTGATTCCATAGGACTTCAACTTATTTCTGTCAGCTCTGCAGAAGCCACCTTTTGAACCTCTCAGATATGATCCACTGACCCTTTTCACTCACAAGGTTGCCTTCCTCTTCTCCACTTCTGCCAGGCATGTTTCTGAATTAGCGGTTTTGCTCTGTAAAGAGCTCTTTCTGGTTATCCACAAAGATAAGGTTATACTGAGACTTAAGGCCTCTTTTTCTTCTTACGGTGGTTTCGGCTTTCCACCTTAAGCCAGAACATTGTTTTACTTTGTGTTTTGTACCACAACATCCTAAAAAAAAAAGTTTCTCTCCACTGTTTGGACATGGTTCAAGGCTGTTAACTTTCTGCTACAACTACCATCCGCAACTCTGACTCCCTCTTTTGCCTTTCCTAAGGGTTGAATTTGGTAAATTAGCATTCAGTCTTGAGAGTTAAAGAGCAAAGTTCTCCCCTTTCTGGTGAGGCTCACTCTATTGAGTGTTGGTATTCCTTGGGCTTTTCAGTATCGGGCTTCAGTTTTCTGAGGCTGCCAACTGGTAATCTGTTAATAGCTATGCCAAGTTTTACTGGGTGGACATTCAGGCCTCTGCTGATTGCTAGTTTTGGCCACAAGGTTCTTCAGACAGTCCTTAAATTGTGGGCACCTTCTATTATCGTTTCCTGTTGGGTATTGTTGACCCAAGCGATAAGAGAATGGAAGCCATTTCTTGAACTCTGTTCTCACTGACAAGTCCTGCTCTTTACCCCTATCTGGACTGTGACTGACTGGTCAAAATCCCTTGAAAGGGATCTTATACTGCTGCAGTTAATATGATGTTTCTAAAAAAGTTGCACAAATGGCTGTAGCTTCAAACTGACTGTTGTGATGGTTGGGTGGAGGCTTCCCAGCTTGTGTAGGACACTGGCTAACGTGCTGGACTGAGGAACCTGTGTGTAAGAAACATCTAGTCCTCGTGGCCTTTGATGGACAACGTGTCTTCTGATTACTGTTGGTACCATTATCAAGGATGCTACTGGTGTCAAGTGCACCCATATTCCTAAGGGGAGGAATCTCAAGTAACAAGCTACAAAGCCTTCTCTCTCTTTATGTTAAGACCCACCCCTTTAGTTTCTCTACTCCCGCATCCTTCTTGTTGAGACCCCCCAAGCTTGGATGTAAGTCCACCCACAACATCTGGGGCTCAAATTCTGCCAAATCCTCCAGGAGTAGGCTGACACTGGCTTGGTGGCTCAGAAATCCATCTCTAGAATTGGAATTTCCTATCTTTTGGAAGTTCCTCCCCCAAAGGATGCCAGCCTGTGAGGCTGGAGAGCAGTCCCTGTTGGTGCATGTTGGGGAAGTCTTGTCTGCAAGTAACATCCTCGAGATTTGGGTGATTTGGCTGTTTGTGCAGCATTGGACCATCCTGTTTGAAAGATGGGCATCTCTGAATCTGTGATTCCTACTCTCAATAGTTGCCAACTATTCTCATAATCGATTATTATCGATTTAGTCGATTAGTTATTGCAGCCCTACTTAAGTGTATTCTGCGACAGATGTCAGGTTCTTTGCATACGAGATGGAAGTGTCCTCAAAGAAGCAGAAGCTGTTACAGAATAAGAGCCCATTCACACCAGGGCGGTGGCGGATCAGCGTGGTTATTGCACTGATCTCAAAAGGGAGGTTTTGGGAGCGTTTCATTGCCTTTCACCACTGATCAGCTCGTCAAAAAAAGTGTGGGGGGAAATTCAGATAGCGTGGACCCGCGCAGTCGCATGAATAGTCACCATAGCAATGTATGAGATCATTCATGTCGGCAGATCCGGGCGGCCGAACTGCCCCAGTGAACGGGGTCTAACACAGATCTCTCCGCTTCTTTCATTATGTACATTTTGTAACAATATTGTTTTACTTTGTTTTTATTTGAGATACAAATGCAGAGAAGCCAGAGAGCGGTAAATGACAGATCTCCCACTTGTGTTTTGTTTCTGAATGAAATTTGGATGTATCCGAATTTCGTTATCAAACATTCGGATTCTTTCAGATTCGTTATTTCTGTCATTCGGAAATTCGGATGCATCTGAATGTCCGCATTTACAGAAATTTGTACGAATTTCAAGTGTCTATGTCCCCCACCCACTTGTACTGACTTTCACCACTCTTCGCTGCTGCTCTTATCTCCATTGCAGTTATCACAAAACCCACTGCTTCTGGATATAGGGGAGCGAAGACCTCCTCCCATGATGAAGCGTATGGGTATCAGTGGCCAATATTCAGGTCCAAGCACTGTCACATGTTTGAGGGAGTGACATCATCAAACCGGTGTACACTTTGTTGGACTGGAGGAACAGAGTGGCAGTGGAACACATTGAATTTGAGTAGGCCAGGGGGAGGCTTTAAAGAAACTGTCACTTCATTCTGAATGGGCAAGAGACAGTAGGGGAATTTATCAAAACTAGAGCAGACAAAATCTGGAGCAGCTGTGCATGGCAATCAAATCAGCTTCTCGCTTCAGTTTGTTCAGCTACGATTTGAAAATAAAAGAGAAAAGCTGATTGGTTGCCATGCACAGCTGCTCCAGATTTTGTTCGTTTTGATAAATTACCCCCAGTGTCTTTAAAGCACAAACAGAAATAGGGAAGCTCAACAGCAGCAGCCCAAGGGCAGATTACTAGATCTCCATTTACTTCCTGCATTTCTAGCACGTCACTAGACATGTGACTAGAAAATGTGACCATGCACATCATCTCAGGGGAGGAAAATGGCTTTCCCTGAGATCTTGTGAGATTACAGATGAGATTTCACAGCAATGCTCTGCTGATGACAAGGCAATCCCAGTGTGCATTGCTTTGGCAAACTGAAGTCATTTTGCCCTTTCAAAGGAGAAAGTGAATGCTCTGCAAATGTAAGTATTTTAAAAATCACAGCATTTTACACCGGACATGTCTATGTTATTATTAATATCCGTAACTAGAAATCAACATTTTGTATGGGGCCCTGTGGTTTCTAGTTACGTCCCTTGCAGAGCCGACCTGAGATCCCAAACAGCTCACCTGAGAGTGACCCTGCAGAGCCCACCATAGACTCTATGGGCTGGTCACACCCCTGCACACCTCTTACCTGTCAGCCCCAATCTGCTGTCCGCCTCCTCTTCCATCGCCATGCCCCTCTGACATCACCGGCCCCACCTCCTCTTCCGTTGCTGGGCCAGCATCCTCTGCCGCAACTGTTGGCTGTCACTGACACAGCAGCGGCTGTGAGGAGGAGCGCGCCGCTACAAAGATCACTGACAGGTTGTCAGTGATCTAACAGCGACATGTTCCTCACACCCGCCAGTGACAGCCAGCAGCCTGAGATGCCATAGCAACTCAGGCGGCCCGCACAGCATCAGGGGGATGTCCTGGCCGGGCCCCCCTGTGCCCCATAGCGGCTGCCCTGGTTGCTATGGCGACTGTTACGCCACTAAATCATCATGCATAGAGGGATGCATTTGTAGAATTTGATTTTTGAGTGTAAAGGTCCGCTTTAATGTCACGGTCAAAAGCTTCATTTATTGAAGTTTTTTGTCATATGACCAAGACTGGTGTGCTGGTGACATTTCTACAATTTTGCTGACATTCGCGGCGCCATCCGCGGTCACTGCGAGCACCCCCCACTACAAGGGACATATCGGTAAGGAGTGCGACAAGGAGAGTACTCATTAATGTCACGGTCAACCCCTCTTCAGACCTGATCTGGTTAGTCTGCTTTGACCAGGCCTGTTTTGAAATGTATACTCCGTTTTCAGGTGAAGCTTATTTATTCTCTTGAAAAAAGAAATGTGAAGCTATGACGCATTGATAAGCAAATTATTACTGGCACAGCAAACAATAAAGATCTGCGTATCAATTTTGAGGAGTTGCTTCTACTCAGGGTGGTTGTTCAAAAATATTTTCAAACAGTTTTAGAACAAATGGAATGCCATGGTTTTTTTTTCTTATATATATATATTATTTACATTTTCCCGTATCCTTTGTATTTATCCTAAACATCCGATGATAGATCTTTTTCACAGCAGCCTTAATTTGTTGGTTCCTCAAACTATATATAAAAGGATTGAGGAGAGGAGTAAGAACTGAGTACACCACTGTCACTGATCTATTGTCCTCCACTGAAGAGGAGGAAGATGGGCGGAAATAAGTAAAGAAGATAGTTCCAAAGAAAAGTCCAACGGAAGTGAGGTGGGAGGAACATGTGGAGAACGCTTGGTACCTTCCTGTGGATGACTGTATCTTCAAGATGGTTTTGAGAATCCGGCAGTAGGAGATAACTACAAATACGAAGGGACTCATGGTTACAAACGAGCCTTCAGTGAACACTAAAAGGTCATATTGTGATGTGTCGGAGCAGGAGAGAGCCAGCAAGGGAGGAAGGTCACAAAAATACTCATGTATTTTGTTTGGACCACAAAACGTCATTGAAGCAACTATAGATATATGTAGAAGCGAATGCAAAGCTGTAAATGTCCATGAGAAGACTATCAGAGCCAAACACATTCTCCTGTGCATGATGTATAAATAGCGTAAAGGGTTGTTGATGGCAACTAGTCTGTCATAAGCCATTACTGCTAGGACAAAGCACTCCATGCTCCCTGTAAAAAACAGAAAAAATAACTGGCTCATACATCCTTCAAAACAAATGGTTTTCCGATCCCAGAGAAGATTTCTGAGCATAAGAGGAGCAGTTACTGAGCTGAAGCAAATGTCAACAAAGGAAAGATTTCCCAAAAAAAAATACATTGGATTGTGCAGCTCCTGGCTACTGCCAATTACAGCTACTATGAGCAAATTACCTAAGACTGTTACCAGATACATTGTGAAGAAAAGAGCAAAGAGTGGCATTTGCTGGTCCTTACTATGGGACAGACCCAGGAGGAAAAACTCTGTGACAGTTGATACATTGACTAGGTTCATTGGAAATGGACAGCTGAAAATACCAAAACAAAGTTATTTTGTATTTCAATTAACCAATAGCCTATCCTTAGTGCATAAAATCATAAGTATTAATTAGAAGGTTGAATAACTACACCCCCTTCATTAGAACTTTCACATGTACATCCACTTCAACAAATGCTCCTGTAACCGTCCCCTGCTACACCATGCTTTTTAAGGGAATTTTTCCAGATTTCACTTTCAACTTATGTATGACCTTGTCAATATTAATATGTGTAGCAAAAGGGCAAAAGGGAGTGTAGGTGAAGGGGGTTGCTTTATGTTCCAAAACAAATGTTTATTTGTAGAGTCTAGTATTGTGGGACCATTGAACCACTTGTATTGCTTTTCCATAAACTGCTTTGATGATATTTTAAATATAAAGGCAAAATCTAGCAAGTTTGCTGTTCTCTTTAATAAGTTCAGCAGTAAAAAATACAATATTTGACTTTATTTTTATAATGTTTGGTCAAGTTTGTTAACATGATATGCCAAACACCAAACTGCAGCTTGTTCCAAGCTTGACAAAGGGTTAGACATAGTCCAGTACATTTCTATTGGAAATGGGAGCTTAACTGTTTTGTACTTCCTTTCTCATACAATAAAGTGAAAACGCTTCTAATACGGACAAAGACCTGTGTGTGAACGTACTATGTTTTTGCATGCTTGAAGTTCCTCCGAGTTGCTGAAGAAGTTTTTTATCCTGCCACCAGGCATAAGGATAAGGTTTGTGCTGATATAAATAAGGCTGGTAAAGCTAGCACGGAGGTGATGTAACTGCCAAAGCTTACTAGTATGCCCATACTCAAAGAACTTTGGCTGTTCACTAAAGCACTAGGCAAGAAAACCAGAAAAACGTATAATGCATAGATTGTAAACATGGTGCTCCAGTTTTCTATAGGAACACCAATTGGTTGCACTGCCTATAACAATTGAGCAGCGTATGGGATGAACTTTGAACACATACAAGCTACAGAAATACTTATCACACTCCACAAATAGTTGATTGTTCAGGCGGTGCTCCTTTTTCTCCATAAACGGAACCATCCGATCACCATGTGTATGATCGGGCAGCTGATAAAGCCTGGTCATTTTTCTTTATTTCCCATGATGTTCACATTATATACACAATGTTTGTACAAAAGAGTGCAAGATAAACCTACCGTATTATAATAAAATAGTAAACCTGCAATGTAAGTGAAAAGAAGATCCCTGTGGAGCTGGAACCTACCTTTCAATGTCCTCTTCAATAATGACCCCAAAGATACAGAGCATTTAGATATTGACTTGGGAAGCGATGTCAAGAACAAGCCAGTCACTCTATGTATAATTATTCGATGTATAAGGCTGCTCCCTTTCTTAATGTTTAATCTATTTAATATTTTATAACTTTTTTTTTTTTTTAATACTGGTACTGTTTTGTATATTATGACATGCCAGAAATGTATTTGTAAGATTACATAAAGGTCCACTTTAAAATGTCATTTTTTTAAAGTAATGCTTTAACAAGAATGTTTCTTTTTTAATTGTAGTTAAAGGGGAAAAAATAACCTAAATCTGCCATTTGGCCTTAAGTTTGATGCAGATGTTTTTTTTAGAGGTAGTGAGGCTATTTGAGAATCAGGGGGATAAGGAATTCAGGAATCTTGTCTACAGGCTGAATACAGTTGTCATTTGCTACAAGAGTTTTTTTTGGTTATGTTAAATCCCAATGACCTACAGATTGCGGTGCAAACATGAAATTACAAAATAGGCTGTGTACCGGTTATATAGAGTATATCATATTAATTTATAAACAGAGTTGGAGTTTTATTTTAGCAAAATTAAAAGAGAAGTCTAATAAAAGAGGTGTGAGAGTTTCACAAAGCCAGTTTAACCCAGCAGCATCTCCCTGCACATTTTGGGTGGGTTGATGTTTTAAAGGGCATCAGAGGCTCATGATGGAGAGATGGCTTACCTTAAAAAAGACGCATAAGATATGTTATTTTCTAAAAAATATGTTTGTGTTGTTTAAACGATATTTTGTTTAATAAACAAAATAAATTAACTGTTGTCAGTCCAAGAAGTGAGGGTGACTTCTATTATTAGTACAGCAATGTTCTGCTTTTAAATGGTTCTTCCTCCCAATGTGTCTCATTAGTGTGGCAGATTCTTACCTTGGAGATTTCTGATTTTTTTCGAGTCGTGTTGTTTTTGCATAACCCTGAAGAATATTCTAAATGCTCAAAGGGTATCTAAAGCCAAGAACAAAAATGTCATATATTGCAGCTTATTAATCCTTAATTGAGGTGACTGAATTAGTTTCCTTATTTTCAGGCTTTTTTTACTGAGATTTCTGTTCTGTACACAGGAAGCTACAGGGATATTGGATTTCTGACAGAATCAACAGATATTTTCTGATATTTTAATGTATATACTACACATAATAGTAATACAGGCGATTGGGCTGCATAAAGACACGACCTTTGAGTTAAGAAAAAAAGGAGCCCCTAACCTAACCAGATGATGGCAAAAAGAAATCACTGCCAAAAAACTCCTTCCTGATCCCCAAAGGCAAATAGGTAACTCCCTTTTATGTATTTCTTATAATTAAATGGATTTATTTGCACTTTGTGCACACCCAACCCTTGTTTTAAGGACAAAATACTGAAGCGGCTCTAACCCATTATTGTTCCACATTTTCACTGCTCTCACTGTAAAGAATCATTTCCACTTCAATTCCACTCAAAATGAGTTCCCTCATAATTAGACGTGCACCAGCAAAAAATGTGTTTACTTTAGTTTTGATTCGAATTTTGCTTTATTTCGTTTTTCGGAATTCGGGTCCCAAAGTCAATTCGTTTCGGAATTGGGATTTGGACGAAATTCGTTAGCGGAAATCCATACGAAATTCCGTTTCGTTTTCGTCTCGTTCAATTACAGCAAAGTGACATTTAAGAGGGAAAAAAAGTTTGTTCTCAAATGTCTCTTTGCTGCAACGAAATTTCGTCCAAAAAACGACAGTTCGTCCAAAAAAAACGAATCGGAATCGGAAATTCGGATTTGTTTGCATTCGTTATACCTGTAATTCGGAATTCGGATACATCCGAATCTCCGAATTTCCGATATTTCGTCCCAATTTCGATTCGGAATGAAACTAATCGCACTCATAATTAGCATTAGTGTTTTATTCTTTCAGCGTTATCTATTTATAACTAACTGACGCTGTTTGCAATGTTTGAAGCTGGCTATTCCCAGACAAAAATCTCCCTGAGAATGGCAGATGGGGAGAGATCTTCCTCTTTTATCAACCCATTTTTCTATCATCACTTGGGGCTGGCAGTTGCATAGAAGAGCAAAGAATGGGGACCCGCTAATGGAGAAAATCTCCCTGTGTGATAAATGAAACCTCTGACCACTGGAGGTTCCTTATTAACCCCAAGCAGCTCAGAAATGTTGAGATAATATCAAGCCTTGCTCAGGTAGTGTTCTTGGCTGGTCTCCAGCTCAGAGTCCACTCGTAACCATTATATACCATTAAAAAGTATGAACCTATTTTGCCACCCTGCAGATATTTAATGCTGATCTCCAGCCTTGCACTTGAATATACAGATAACATACAAATACACAGTCAAATCTTTCAACTGCCAAAGGACTTGTAATGGTGTGCAGCCAGGTGTTTGATCCATACTACAACAGCCAGTCGGATTGGGCAAGAACCTCTCCCCTCCACCCTAATCCTGCTGATTGGGTAATAAGGAAGCTGAAGGGAACCTTCTCCTGGCAGCATAGGTACATGTAGCATGCGTGACTGGCTTACAGTGCTGGTCCTCTCTTTTCCAGGCTTGGTGCAGTGCAGAGAATTATAAGAAACTAATATAAAGATGGTTTTTTGGCACCTCTACTACTAGTGGTAAAAATACCTATTTTTTATTTTCCCTAATTACAAAGCTGAATTTTTAAAATCATTTTCTGTACTTCAGTTTTAATGAAATAAACATTTGAGACAATGGGGTTGATTTACTACAGGCAAATAGGCTGTTCACGTTCCAAAGTAATTTCCAATTTTCAAGGTAATTTTCCCTCAGCTTAGGGATTGTGGTGAAAATAAAGTTTGCATAAAATACCTAATCACATGAAAGGAAAATAAAAATGTTCCCAACCACAGTGATGATGTAGATGCCAAGAAAAACAAAGAAGAGGTGTATCTGTGGATCCAAGGTTTCAGAAAGGCCAACGACCAGAAAGGTGGACACTGAACTTTGGTTATCCCATCTAGAGTATTCCATTGAATAACCACCAAACTAGAACAATAAAAAAGAAAAATGTAAATTAGGAAATTTAATAAAACCATAAAATATGAATTTGACATAAGGTATCTGTCTTTTTCAGTTCAGATGTTGCAAGTTGCATTTATAAATGTGTTGCTCAGCAAGTGAAAAGAATTTGGCCACATACAAATGGAAAAGTTATATTTGTAATATTTATATTCGTTTTTATATAAATGTTAAAATCATACAAACCAGGCATTGAGTTTAGCAACAAAATTGTTTGACAACGTCAGCAGAGCACTATTAAAATAATTGTGTGTGTAAACAAAATCAGATGCAATTGATGGAGGTGCCCTCCGCACACCTTTCAGCAGTCCCGGCCAACAATCAAATAAATGGTGCTCGAAGTAACTTCACGGATGGCACCGTGCAAAACACAAGATTGAAGAAAATAGGTCACCAGCACTCCATAAGTTAAAATGAATGAGTCCTTTTAATGGACAATGATGTCACAGATGAACAGCCATCAGATATATCCCTGCCACGTACTGACTAACTCAGACAGACCATTTCCATGCACTTGATCTCCAAAATTAATGCTATGTGTCCTGCCTTGCTATAAATCACATGATCAGTCATGATGATAGGATCCCCAAGCAACCATTAGAATGCATGGTCTTCTGTGCAAGTATTTGCTTAAAGATAAAATCATGGGAAGCCATCAGGGCAATA